GCAAATGTTAATCATGTGATCAAATCATTAAATGTCACAAAAACATGCATCATAAAAACAAAATTACAATATTCAATTCGTTATGGCTATAAGTACAACCTAAATAAAGCTATACCTTAATAACATGTATTTTCCCTAGTTATTGATGCCTAATTAAAGAGCATAGAAACTTGGTCAATCAAAAGCATTTATTTACCTACTTCCCTTCTTTGGAACAAATACCCCATCTTTGGACTTTTCACCTGTCATCCAAACAATCTAATAAATACTTGAAGAATAAATAACAAAATATATAGACCTTCAGGACTTATCGGTACAACCCTGATGTCATTATCTAATAAATACTTGAAGAATAACCTGCAAACAAAAATAAACTAAACCAACATTATTATACTTCACACCAGTAACAGACAAAATACAGGATAACATTATTATTATGAACAATTCGAGAAACAGCTACACATATATTAGAAGATGTAGCAAATGTAACACAAATAACCAAACACTTATATATTTAACAATTATATGACAAAAATATATAATAATTTGCCTGTAAAGTAATGCAGAACACTATGACTTGCTTTTGAATAAAAATAGAAATACAAGACTAAGCTAAAGCTGTATGCTATTTTAACATGCTTATTTAATCTTCCTTTTAAACTAGAGTATTTTTGCTGAATATAAGAAAATAAGAAGACTTCTATAGAAGAAAGATAAAAGGTTCATCCTTCAGAAACATCACCATTCATTATTTCAAGAGCATATGATTGGTAAGTACCTGTTTTGACAAACCAGGTAATATGGCAGCCTCATTCAAGAGATTTGCAAGATCAGATCCACTAAAACCAGGCGTTCTCATGGCAATCACATCAAGAGAAACATCATCATCAAACCTTTTATTGCTACCATGAACCTTTAGAACTTTTTATTTCAGTAATTTACTCATTAACAAAAAGCATTAGGCATTTCATAATATAATCATACCTGTCTATCAAACCGTCCTGGTCTCAATAAGGCAGAGTTAAGAATGTCTGCCCTGTTAGTTGCTGCAATGACAATGATACCAGTATTACCTTCAAAACCATCCATTTATGTCAAAAGTTGGTTGAGGGTCTGCTCTCTTTCATCATTCCCTCCACCAATTCCAGTTCCTCTTTGTCTTCCAACAGCATCAATTTCATCAACAAAGACAATGCAAGGGGCGTTCTCTTTGGCCTTCATGAACAAATCACGAACTCGAGAAGCACCAACACCAACAAACATCTCAACAAACTCAGAACCAAATATTAAAAAAAATGGAACACCAGCTTCACCAGCAATAGCCTTGGCCAACGGGGTCTTCCCAGTTCCTGGAGGACCAACAAGAAGAACTCCTTTAGGCATGCGAGTCCCAACAGCAGTGAACCTCTCAACAGGGTCGTCGTCGGGGAAATTGGGGTTGTTGGTGGGGGTGTTGGGGTTGGTGGTAGCGGTGGTGTCGGTGTGGGGTTTGTTGGGGCCTTTTTCCATGGAATCCATGGATTTGAAGTGAACCCAGGAGGAGGGTGAAGCGGTGGTGGAGTTGTTGATGAGGCGAGGGAGAGGGAGGGAGCGGAGGCATTGGATTTCGGTGCGGTAGCGTTTGCGGAGCTTTTCCATTTTGTGGCGGCACTGGACGGCGGTTTTGGCAGTGGTGGAAGCGTTGGGACACTGGGCAGTGACGACATCGGCGACCTCTTGCCAGTGGATGGCTTTGAGGTTTGTGCGGCCGAGGGAGTACCACTTGTCGCGGTAGGCATCGATGAGGGCGGAGGTTTCCTCCGGGGTCCAGCATGACGGGGGGAGACAGTGGGAGAAGATGGAGGGAGGGGTGGCGAGAGTGACGAAGAGGCCGTTAAGTGTTCAGTGAAGTGGTTGTTCAGAAGAAATTGGAGAGAAGAAATTGGGGCTAGGGGGCTAACCCGGCCCTACTTCATTTACAACCCATCTGATGGGGGCTTTGGGGGCCAGGGGCTTTAAAAAAGCCCCTAAGGTGTGGGTCAACAAAAACAGGGCTAAATATAAATTGGGCCAGGGTTAGCCTTGGGGCTTTGAAAAAAATTGACAGCTCTAGGCCTTAGGTTTATTTTCTTGTTTTTTTAGGTTATTAATTTAATTTTATTTAGGGTTTTAATTTTTTTACATTTATTTTAATTTAATATTTTCTGTAGTATTATTTTTTTGTAAATGAAGTGTTTGTAAAAAAAATAAAAGAAAGGTGGAAAGCTGAACAAATTCTTATTATTTTTTTTACTTTTTAGTTTATTAATTTATTGATTTGTAAATTAATTTTTACATACGGTTAAAGTTAAGTAATTATATTTTAAGTAAATTATGTATTTATAATTAAATTAATTTTGTTTTATTTAATAACTAATTATTATTAATTTAATTAAAGTTAATTGTTTTTGTTTTGAATTGTTTTATTTTTATAGAAGAATAGTACAGGGAAAAGGAAAAGAAGAGGAGTTTGATTTTCGTGAAAGTGGTGAAGTATGGGGTGCTTTCATATATGTGTGGGAATCATTCACAAAGTGGTTTGGAAGTTGGAGAAAGTTAAAATTTTTAATCAACACATTAAATATGGAAGGACAAAAAAGAGGAATGATGAGGTACTGGAAACACTATGGTGGTGAAGGGAGTAATGCTGTCTGAAGTAAGGAGATCCATCCTTATTGGGTTTGGGCCATATTGCAATAGGAGGTTAAGAGCAACCTTAATTGCTTCTTTCAGATCATTTCTTCCTGCACCTCCATAATTTCAACTCGCACCACCATTTATTCTTAAAGTATAAATTTATAATTATTTTATTTTGATACTACTGCACTGTTATTACGGTTGCTTTTAAAGTTGTACCTCTCTCACAATTACTAACCTTATACATATCTGTAATATATGACTCACAGTACAAAGTCTAAATATTTTAATTTTTTATTAGTTTATATTTATAATTAATTATAGTCATTGTTCGTTTCATACAAAAAAATATTAATTAAGGGAAGAAAGTTACTAAAAATAATTTAAATTTAAATAAGTACAGGTACCTAATTCATTTAATTTAATATTTGTTTTGACAAAAATAATAAAATTATATATATTATGATAAATTTTATCGATAGATTAAAAAATTTGTCAAACAATTGTCTATGATTTAAATTCATTGATCATTATCTTTTGATAAATATCTGTTAATAATTGTTGACGATTTTTTTTGTCCATAAAATAAAATTCATCAATAAATTCTTCTATTCTTGTTCCTTCTTATTTTTTTTTCTTCTTCTTTATTTTATTCTTCTTTTCTCTCTCTTTCTATTTTTCCCTTCCTCTGTTATGTTATGTTGGTTGTTGGTATTGTTAATGTTAATGTTGCTGGTATTATTGTTATTATTATTGTTCTCGTTATCGTTATTATCACATTTTTTTTTTCATATTTTCATTTTCTTTTCATCTATCTTCATTTAATTTACAACACATTATTCGATAAGAAAATTAGTGTTAATTTTATTAATGGATTTTCAAAATTTTAATTACTAATAAATTTATTAACAAATTTCAAAACATTAATTATTGACCAATTTACTAATAGAATTTTAAAAATTCAATACATATTTACGATGAACTAAAACAAAATTAATACCAATAGATTTATCAACCAATTTTATCACAATATGATTAAAGTTGAATTAAAAACTCATCTCCTTTCTAATAAAAATTTTATATTAGCAACAAATTTTACCATGGATTAATTGCTCATAAAAATATCTATTAATAACTAAATTCCTAATATCATTTAAATTTCGTTGATAAATTTTAGTTTACTTATAGATTTTTGTGAATAAATCTTATTTTTATCGATAAATTTTTGTGAGTAACATGATATTTTCTTGTAAAAGATTGTAATTCAATTAGTTTTCAATATATTGTGCTTTTAAAGATAAAAATATTAAAATATGATTAAAATATGTAAATTATTGGTTATATTTTTAGAAAAAATATATGTAACAAATTTTAAATGCTTAAAAGAGGACATATTTACTATACCTAAAACATACTCATTTAAACACAATAAAGAATTTGACTTTCCCACTATAACGAAAAGAATAATAGAAGTGTACCAGCAGGACCGGACGCCGTACGGAAAGACACACGTCGCCAAACGGACCGGTCGCCCATGTCATCCTCCTGATTATCCAGAAGGCATGTCAGGGCAGACGCCCATTTATATACCAGCAGGACAGAGCGTCCAAATGTGACCAGACGCCCGCGTCACTGTATGTCCTCCCAACGCGCAGACCGAACGTGCGGTTAACACTGCCGCCTGCCAAGGTCATGACCATCTGGGCGTCGAAACTAGCGGACGTCCAAGGCCGCCCGCCCAAGTCACAATCATAGACCGCGCGTCCGTCCAAGGCCGCCCCCCAAGTCACAATCAAGACCGAGCGTTCAAACTAGCGGACGTCCAAGGCCGCCCCCCAAGTCACAATCATAGACCGCGCGTCCGTCCAAGGCCACCCCCCAGGTCGCAAGCAGGACCGAACGTCCACCCGTGTCGAGCACCAAGACCGAACGTCCGCCCAGGTGCGCCAACAGGACCGAGCGTCCAGTATGACCGGTCAGCAGAACCAGATGGCCGCCCACCCAGGTTGGCATCCCTGGCCGACCATCCTTCCCAACCGACCCGCGCTTGGTTGACTACACGGTTAAACGCCAGTGACTCACTAAGGTGTGACTGGGCCGTTATCAAGCCCACTAGAGGTAAAAGGGCCGTTATCAGGCCCACTAAAGGTAAAAGCCCATTACAATCAGTATAAATAAAGGTCTCAGTATGAGTTCTGGACCAACTTTCCTTACGATGCATACATGCATCACAAACTGCTCTGTCATATTACTGACTTGAACGTCGGAGTGCCTTTGGCAGGTACCCGACCCCCCGACTTGGAGTAGAGGAGCAGCGCCAGGAGTAGGAAGACGACCGCCCGGCTTGGAGTGTGAAGCAGCGTCAATCCGTCTTTGTACCGTCCGCCCGTTCAGCTTGCTTCGGTTCATGGGATTCAGTAGCGTCCGTCCGTTCGCCCGCCTGCCTTTACCGTTCGCCCGCCCGTCTTCTACAAGTAAGTGTGTTTCAACAAGGTCCACACCCAAAACATCCGAAACAAGAAGTAAATACAGAAGTTGCTTCTCAGGGTTCTATTTTCTTATGGAGCATGATTCACGTGAGTATTTTTATATCTTGCTTGCTTTCTGTTGTAAATTTTCTTTTTCAGATAAAATAATAGAAAGTTGAGTTGTCTTCATTCACTCATTTAGATTATAATAATAGTAGGGTTTGTTTTTATTAGAGGAAGAAATATGACAAATCATAAAATCGGACAAGTGTGACGTAATTCCACGCGTTCCACCGAGGATTGGTCTATGATTGTCTAATTAAATAACAAAATCAAACTTGTATCTGCATTTTCTGTCACTCTTCTTTTCGGCTTTCAAATCCTTTTTTTCCGTTCATTGTGTTTTCATTCGAATGCATATGTTGTAGATAGAAATATCTTATATAGCAATTTGCAAAATCCATCGCATCCTCTCTATTTAATGCTTCACGGTGCTAACATATCCAACAATGACAATTCGAAACCACGCGAATATTGAAATCCACGGGCGGATGATAGTGGAAGCAGGGGATGTAGGGTTTTCCAAATTTTTTAAAAAATAAACAAATCCCATGGAGTATTATTGGAAAAGAGGGAAATTAAATTATCTAGTTTTTTTTTAAAGAACACCATCTAATATTAATAAATAATAAAACATAAAACTAAATATAATAAAAAATTTATTATGACAATTTTTATTTTATCTTTCATTATTTTTTTTAATTACTAAGATTATATTCATCTTTCACTCTTACATGTTTTCTTTTGTTTCGAAGAAAAAAATAAAAATAAAAACAAATTACTCATTACTTTTTGTTCTCATTTCTCATATATTCTGTTTTATTTTTAAAAAAAATGTTAAATAAAAAAAATAACTCTTTCAGAGGTCCTGTCGACGTTTCCAAACTCTAACATTAATCTCACGTTTTGGTTTAAGAATTTTAACCTGATTGCTTTCAGAGTACGCGCTAAAAAAAGCTATGCCCGTCTGTTAGAATCGATTAATCCATATGTAAATGTCTTTCACGTGGAATCTTTTCTCTCTTTTTGGTCTTCAAAATTCTCATTTGATTAGTAAAATGTTAGTTTTATTGTTAGCATTTTTTTTATCTCGAGTCTTTTGTATAGTCAATTTTCATGAACATAGAAAAATGTATGTGCTGTGTATTTTCTCATAATTGATTTTTAGCGTTGCTTGATTATCATATATTTTTTCTTTTAGTAATTTCATCTTTTAATTTTTTATTATAATTTTAAAAATTATTCTTTCAGTCTTGAATTTTGTTTTTTTTCAAATACGTATATTGATGAATAAGAAAAAAAAAGATTTATTTCTTTAATAGTCATAATATGGAAGTTATCCCAAAACAAATTTACCTTCACATATTCTAAAGCATAATATTAATGATCTAATTGTTCAATTAAAGGAATTTTTTTAAGATTCAAAGAATTATAAGTGAAACCTTCCTATTAATCCTTTGGAAGTTGATATGGAGCAATGTCCTAAAACATATGGGATTATCTGAGTTAAAAAGATTAAATTAAAAGAATTTATTTAATAGGAAAACATCCAATGAGTTAAAGAGATTGTAATTTAATTTTTCCTTTTTTAACTCTTTATATTTCTACATTTACAATAAAAATATCACTTTATGTATTGAATATTATTAAAATAAAATTACAGAATGAAATGAAAAATGATTTTTTTATCGA